GCAGACCATCTCAGACACCTGCACTCAGGCCCATGGTCCTAATCATCCTCTATGCGGACCTGCTGGGTAACGCCACAAGGAACCCAAGAAGGGCTCCCACAGGACATACATTAACATCCCACAGCACTTGAGTCTTTTTACCTTTCTTTCCTTCTGTCTATCTCACTTTCACTACCTCTCCTGTCTGGTGGCTGGTGTCTGCCTGGCTTCTGGCCCCGGGCATCTCCCTTTTTCTCTACTCCTCCTCCTTTTCTTATTCTTCTCTCAGGCTTAGATTTCTCCTCCTATTTTTTCTCTCAGTCCTCCAGCCCCACCTATCCTTTCTCCTGCCTAGCTATTGGTCCTTCATCTCCTTATTAGACCTATCAGGTGCCTTAGGCAGGCAAGGTGAAGCAGATGCGACACATCTTCACACAATTAAGCAAAGGCAGCATACACAAAAGTAACACACCTTTACACAGTTAAAGTAACATCCTGCAGCATAAACAAATGTAACACATTTGCCCAGTTAAAATAATATTCCACAACAAACCTCTGAACTGTAAGCCAGCCCCAGTTAAATGTTTTCCTTTATAAGAGTAGCGGTGGTCATGGTGTCTCTTCACAGCAATAAAACCCTAAGACAAAGACAAAGAGAAGATAAACCCATCCTGTCCTCCTCTAAGTTGCTCCAGGTATTTTGCCACAGCATGAGTAACTAACTAATACATCATCGCAGCATGTAGGTGAGAAACCAAGTGACCTGCCCACCTCAGGCCGACTTACATCTGAGGCCTCCCTCAGCCCTCAGTGTCTGGAGAGAAACAGTGAGGCCACAGTCCCAGCGAGCTGCTGAACCAAGTCTTTGGCCACTCTGAGGAGTGGAGATGGATGAAGCAATGTTCCATCAATGAGCAGATGAAGCACATGTGGAGGGCAGAGGATAACGAGAAGGAGTCAGCTCTCCTTCCATCGTGTGAGACTCGTAGATGGAACTCGGGTCGTCAGGCTTGCTGGTAAGTGCTCTTCCTGTGGAGCCATTTTGATAGTTAATATTCTAGCTCTTTCAATATTCTAGGTACTAACCTGTCAGATGTGTGGCTAGCACAGATTTCTCTCCCTTCTTGTAGTCTGTCTCTTCCCTCAACTGTTTCCTTTGCTGTACAGACATATTTAAATGTCACGTGCTCTCATTTGTCAGTTTGGACTATTGTTCTCTGAGCTGTTGGGGTCCTTTTGAGCTTGATGTGCTTTACCTGTGTTTTCCGTAATAGTCTGAGAATGCCGGGTCTTATGTTAAGGTCTTAGTTAGAGTTGATTTTTGTACAAGGTGAGAAACAGGATCTAGCTTCATTCTCCTACATGTAAACATCCAGTTTTCCCAGCCATTCATGTCAGAGAAGCTGTGTGTCGTAATTCCAGGTCCTTTTACTTCATTAATCTACATGTTTGTTTTTGTGCCCATCCTATGCAGGGCTTTGCCCCTATGGCTCTGTTCCGTGGTGTGCACCATGTGTACCACGGACTTGAACTCAGGTGTGAGATGCTTCTCTTTGCTCAGGCTTGCTTTGCTGCTCTCCTGTGCTCTTGTATGGATATTTCTGTGAAGAACTCCATTGCACTTTGGATGGGGATGCCGTTGAACCTATAGGCTGCTTTTGGCAATATAGCCAGGCAGAGTAGCACGTGCCTGCAATCCCAGCTCTCAGGAAGCTGGAGCAGGATGGGTACAAATTCAAGGCCAGTCTGAGATACAAAGCAAGATACTTAAAAATCAGTAGACCAACACACACGCATGCACACACACATACAAACACATGCACACATGTTATGCCTTCATAGATGCTTGAATGCTTGAAACTCTGTTTATTGTTCAGACTAGTACCTCTGTATGTATGCATTGTTCAGATTGAAGAAGTACTAGCGATCTGTCTTCGAGTTCATGGTTCTGTTCTCTGTTCGACCCAGTCCACAAGTCAACTCGAATGCTGCATTTTTCATGCAGGCACTCTTCCACAGAGCTACACTCCAGGCAGGTTCTCCACCTCAGAGCTGCACAGCCCCAGAATTTCTCCACGGAATGTATTGTTCGAGTTCTGTTTAAACCCGCTACCAAACCTGTGGTTATGTGGATTTTCTGTTCCCTTCAATAAGTTCTGTCGTTTTTGCACTTTACCTCTGGGTCTATCGAGTTGTTCTGAGTTGATCTTGTTTAAATGTGTGTCTAGGATTTTTCCTCTCTATATGCATCACAACTATTTTAGCGATACATATTTTAAAAAACATGTTCTCTCCATTAAATAGGCTTGGGCCTATTTCCAGGCTGTCTGTTCTGCTCTGTTGATCAGTGTGCCTCTTTTTTGTCCACCAGTGTTTTAGTTATTAGTCTACTGGAGTTGCCATGACCAAGCATTGGAGAGCGCGTGGCCCTAACAACAAAAATTTGCTTTCTGAGATGAGGCTTCCTTCCCAGATGCTGTATTCTCTGACCACCATTCTGCTGTATTCTCATATGTGTCTGTGTGCATACAGAAAGGGGCTGGAAGAATTTGGTCTCCTCTTTGTGATATATATATCTCTGATGCTTATATGTGTGCTGGTGTGCATGTCCAAGTAAGATGTCAAGTGTCTCTCTGTCTCTCTGCCTTATTCTTTGAGTCATGGTCTCTCTCTCAGTGAAGCTGGAGCTCACCCATGTGGCCAGACTGTCTGGCTAGTGAGCCCCAGGAATCTTCTCTCTGCCTCCCCAGCACTGGGTTACAGGTGCATGCAACCACACTTAGTTTTTCACAAGGGGTCCAGGATACAAACTCAGGTCCTCATGCTGCATAGCAAGCGCTTCACCAACTGGAGTCTCTCCTCAGTGCCTGTCTTCCTTTTTTTAAAGGAAATTTAAAGATTCCATCCTCTCAGAGCCTAACTCACGTGTCCTCACTTGGCCTACCTCACCTCCCTTCTTCTCCAGGCTTTGTTTGAGAATTAGGGCTTCAACATAGGAATCTAGAGAAGGGATACGACTCCATAATATTTTGCCTATAGCTCCCTCTGTTGCTGGAGGGCTTCTCTCCAGGTTCCCCAAGCCCCGCAGTCCCACAATCCACTTATAAAATAATCACTCAGACGCTTATATCACTTATAAACTGCATGGCCGTGGCAGGCTTCTTGCTAACTGTTCTTATATCTTAAATTAACCCATTTTTATAAATCTATACCTTGCCACGTGGCTGGTGGCTTACCAGAGTCTTTACATGCTGCTTGTCCTGGCGGTGGCTGCAGTGTCTCTCCCTCCTCAGCCTTCCGCTTCCCAGAATTCTCTTCTCTCCTTGTCCCACCTACTTCCTGCCTGGCAACCTACTTCCTGCCTGGTCACTGGCCATCAGTGTTTTATTTATATAGAGTGATATCCACAGCATTCCTCCTCCGAGTTCATAGCCTTCTCACAGGTAAAATAGTTCCACTTCTTTCTGACAGCCCCTAAATTCTTAACCAACTCCAGCATCAGTTTCCAGTCCAGAGAGTCAACAAAGATTCCTCCTACCTCTGGACTTCTGAAGCCAGAACAAGTTATGTACTCCCCAAATGCCAGGCACGTAGAGCATGGCATGCTCATTCCAAGAGGGGGTATGGAAAAGGAGAAAGGAGTGAAGAGCCCGGGGTTGGCAAGGTGGCTCAGTGGGTAGAGGTGCCTGCCAGCAGGCCTGACAACCTGAGTTCTGTCCTTGCAGCCCACAGTAGATGAACTCACACTAGTTACACACACACACACACACACACACACACACACACACACACACACACAAATAATAATAATAATAATAAATATTAGTAATAATAAATGAGATAAAAAATAAAGTGGTGTTTTTAGAAAGTTGGTAAGTCCCAAGCAAGTTCAAAACCAAACAAAGCATGCTCCATCAGACCCTGAGGATGGTGACTAACTGTCCTGAGCCGAATCACTGTCGTGTTCCACTTGTGCTCACTGGAGCACCATCACCCATTCAAGTCGGCCAGCTGCTGCTCCATGTGGCTGGCCACATTCTTGGTGGTCCAGCCTCTGAAGCATTGAGTGGGGTGGCCTGGCCCACACAGCCCCAGGCTTAGAAAGCAAAGAGGACACTGCTTTGCTTCCTGGAACTGTGGTGGCAGTCCTGATGTTCTCTGAATCACCCGTGGGTCATTCTCACGTTTTCTTAAAGGATAAAGCATGTTCACAGCCAGAAGCTCTGAAATGCCATCTTATATGACACCAGGGTTTCAGAGCCTTCCTTTATTCCTCTAGCACTTATGCCGTTTGGCCCCAGCTAGCAAAGTCTCTTGGGTATAGTCATTTCTAGCTTAGCGTGTGCTGACCTGGCTGATTAGTCCACCC